TGAGATGAAAGTGCGTGACAGACGCACACACAGACACACAGACGCACAGACACACAGACAACCTCTGGTCAATATGCGTTTTTCGCATTGCATTGCTGCAAAAAACGCATAAAAACCATCAAGGGTAGCCACTGCTGTTGTTTTTTCTGTGATTCTGTTAGATGCATGGCTGCACCGGAATGCACTGCTCGTGAAAACATCCTTGCGAATATGAGTTTTGCGAAACATCCGTGAAAATTCATCCTTAACAGCGAGTGTGAATTTTGGGAAGTATCTGTGAAAGTCAGTTCTTAACGGCGAATGTGAATTTTGCGAAATTGTCCGCAACATTTTATTAAAACAAACATAACATGTCAAATTATCACGGTTATGCGTCATCCGATAATGTTTCACGTTGTCCGTGTCTCCCAAAAGGAATACTGACACGAAGTGTGGGCTTCGCAATAACAGCCGAAGGTTTATTTGCGCTGAAAGAAAAATATTAATTTGCGACGGGAATGAGTGCCTTAGTCAGAGACACGTTTCGCTTTTTCATGCTGCTGGATTCAGAATCTGATTACCAACGGACCACTGCGGGACAAGCGTTTTTGCGATAAGTGCCGTTGTTAGAATATGATGCCATGTGCAGATTAAGACTGTATCATACGGTGGCTGGGTTTTTTCGAATCCACGACCGCCTAGTTGTGGCGCGGGTCTGAGAAGACTAGCTGCAAGTTGAATTTTGGAAATATCGAATTGATGCTCGCCGTTCTGGAATTTTATGAACTCAGTGCAAGTTCGACACAATATGTTGTTTCCGGTTCGCATTTTCCTTTTCGAGTAATTCTGCTTTAATTAAACCGCTTGGTCGAGCAGGTTTGGCAGCATTTCCTCTTTTTAGCTTTAGTTATGATCAAGTATTGAGATCCCGAAATTTCAGTATCCTTCCTGGGTTGAAACATCCAGACAAGCATAAACACATTGTCTCGTTATAATGAGTTCTTCATAATGCATTTGTTGGAACGAAAAAATTAGCGAGCATTTTTGATGTTGTCGCGCGCAAAACTCCCAAATAATTCATTTAGCGTTAGAAGCAGTGCTACAGCACTGCGGGGCCTTATGGCAGGCAAGATGTAGAAAAGCTTGAAAAGTCTAATATAGTTTCGACTCAGTGTCCCATGGGTGTTTGGTAATCTTTTACAAAAAAAGTTATCTTTTCTCACCAGGAAATTCCGTTACGGACCCTCAGCAATGTTTTTAAGTATTTCGGGCGTCAAATCCGGGCACTCATCGAAGCCGTCATTTTCGCCCGCACCTCCTGCGCCGCCGTTACCAGCATCTCTTTCACTCGCTGCCGCTACTTGTTCTCTGTTTTCCTTCACTTCTTCTTTCTAAATTAATTTTCCAAATTTCATGGCCAATTCCAAAAGGGTGCTCCTCTCCAAGACTCGGCAAGTTTTCGGTGATTATTTTCGGTATGTAAGGCAAAGATTGGATGGAAGTAAAGCACGGAGAGCCGTTGTGGATCAACAGTCAACCTTCCTTCAGCGTCGTCGAGAGAAACACCTGAGGCTAAATCTGAAGAACTAACGTCGCAATGAGAAATTTTGTTAAGAACCACTTTAAAAGAACATTTTATGTCATGCCCAGCGCCGTGTGAAGATTGCTCAGGAGCCTCAATAATAACTTCGAAATGATCCTAATCTAATTGTCTGTGGTTTTTTTAACCCCGATTTAATATTTTTTGCATTTGCTTTTTGTTTAAAGCAGGCTCTTTTGGATTCATTTTTTTCTGTTTCAGTGAAATTTAGCACTTTGAAATAATTTTCGCATTTCTTCTAAATAAAGTGCTCCTTGACTGACTTTCTTGTAGCAAAATCCTCGAAATTTCGATTATATTTGCCTCACTGAATCAAACTACAGCAAAATTTGAAGGAGCTTTCCTGAAACAAAGATTTTTAAACTATTTCGCTGTTCTAACAGCTGTGTATTCGTTCCAAGCAAACCTTTACCAAGGTATTTTAAGACAGCATATGAGTAAAAATTGGAAGCGTGGATCAGAAATGGGACCGAGGAACAACGAAAATCCCATCAGCAGTTCGTAGCAGCACGACCAGGTTGGAAGACATCAGCCAAAATAATTTCGGAATGAAAATGAGACTTGACAAAATTCAGGAAACAATCCCTCAGATTTTCTCGTCTAATTGTTCTAATTTCGAGGACCTCCGAGAAGAGCAACAGACAGTCCTGCAGAGAGGATGTTGGACGAGAGTAAACAACCTACGTCGACATGGGAAGAGCGGATGAATTGATGCGCAGATTAAGATACTGATAAAACAGATGCGCATGCTGAATTCAGGAATGGTGTGCACATGCATTTTTGCGACGGATTGTTTTTTAGTACACGGACAGAACAAATAAATTCGAAAAGTAACTGCACTTAGTTCTGCTGACCAACTGACCAATCTGACACATTCAGAATGCTGATCGTGACCGAAACACTTCTTACCATTATAATAATCTCACAAATTTTCTGATTTTCATTTCTTACCTACATTTTCCTTTCTTCCCCCTTCTTCCATTCTCTCCTCTTATAACTTTCTATTGCAGTGCTTTTGTCATGATTTTAGCTTGTAAACGAGGGTGAGAGGTAAGCCGGAACACAGTGGAGATGGAAGCTAATGGCCTTAAGTCACTTGTTATTCATTCTTTCCATTTTTTACCACACTGCACCTGACCCCTTTCTGTGACCAGGACCAGTACTCCCAGTATAAGACCTAGCTAAATTCCATTTCTTTTATTTTCTAAAATTTTATCCATTTTACCGGCATCGTCCAAATTCCAAGTTTAGCGTTTTTCGCCTTTGACTCTTCGACTTCGGCCCCTTTTTTCTTCTCGTATTACGCAATCGTTTTTGTGATATTGAATTATTGCATCTTATTGTATTTCGTGCATAATGTGGCCTAGCTCTGATTATCCGCACTGTGTTAAAAAGCTGAACCCTGATCTGCCTACATCAAGATATTATCGCCGCTGTTTTAATAAACTATGTTAATAAAAGATGCTTGTCACATTCATTCGTCAACTATGCTACACACTCAGCTACAATCTAAAAACTTCCTCTGGGAATACTTTACAATGTGTAAAGCCCTTACCACGTCTATATGCGCTTATCGACATACACATATATATATATATATATATATATATATACTTAAGTTCATAAATTTTACTGTAGGATTTCAGCTTCTCAGCTTTTGTAGTCTAGGATTTCATTTATCACAGCAGACGAAAGGTAGACACAAATTCAGAACAGGCCTAATCTCGGCAGAATGCGTTATTCGACTTATTCATAAATGAATAATGACTTCGAAAAAAGCAAATAATAATGGCAATTTTACTGACAAATTTAACTCTATGTAAGAAACGGATGGAGAAAACGGCTGCTTTGGCGGCAGTCAGTAATTGGTGGGTGACATTTAAGAGAAGCATTTAGGAAAAGCAAAATGGCCAAGTGAAAATGCGGCTAAAACATGAGGGACAAGAAAAGCATTGCTAGGCTATACCACTCAGCCCGTAAAATATGCGTAAAATCACCTCTTACCTCAGTAGTTCTTATCTTTTTGTTAAAAGAGTAGAAAGATTGCCAGCAAGCTGATTAATTTCACTGGCTTAAACGATGTGAAAAGCACAAGAGCGTAGTTGCTAGAAAAGTTGTCTGCTGGGCAGACTGAAGACCGGACTATGAATTTAACACCTGTCCCAGCTACTGCAAGTGATCATTGCAGATGACCGGCGCTAACTGTTTGCGATTTGATGCCGTTTAAGCAAGCACTAGAGTTATTAAGAGACTTTGTTTCGTGTTCTTTGAGCTTGCCTGAGCATCATTTCCTGTGAATGTGACATTTCAAGCAGTCTAAATTTGCAGTGGTGGTTACACTCCCAAGACACTGTCTTTGTGTGGTAGATGTATTATTCTAAAGCAGCCAAATTCAAGTAGCCTAATCTCAGCGTATCAGCCATTGCTTTGTTGGTTGAGGATAAAAAAAAAAAAAAAAAAAAAAAAAAAAAAAAAAAAAA